ATGCCGAGGAGCGCTCCCGAGGGCCCGGCCTGGCCCGGCCCGGCCTGGGGCCGTCCTGACTAGAGCGGGCCCCTGCGACCAGCGCTGCAGCAGGCGGGGGCAGGTCGATGGCTGTTTGAGCCCCGCCAGGCCCGGGCGTGGGGACCGGACTGGGGCGGAGAGGGCAGAGGGCCTGGCCGGCGGGGAGGAGGAGGATGGACGGGCCGACAGGCAGGCCTGCGAGGGGACGCAGTCCTGGCCGTGCCCGCAGAGCCCGGCGCAGGGGCTGCGGCTGGCTGGGGCGACTGTCGTCGCAGGAAAGGGCTCTGGAGGACGGGCTGGTGAGCGGGGCCTTCTGCAGCTACAGGCAGGGACTGCCCAGGCCGAGCGGCCGGGGCCAGACACTCCCCAAGACCTGGGGAGGGTGGTAGCTGGGAGCAGTAGCCGGCCGGTGGACAAAGCCCGGGTCAGCTGTTTAGAGGCGCTCCTGGGCTAGACACTGCCGGGGCTGGGGTCCCTGCTGACCTTGGCCGAAGGCTATGAAACATCCAGGGAGAGACGCTGCTGGGTGCTGCCCCGAGAGGGGAGGGACGGCTGGAGACCCTGCTTGCTGGCCCTGACGCAGCCCGCTGGGCGGGGATCAGCACGTGGTGGCAAGAAGAGGAAACTGAGGCAGGCTCGCTGCAGCTCCCGCCCTGCTGAGGGGTGCTGGCAGGTGGACGGGGCAACACCTCGCAGCAAGTGATGTGGGATCCAAGCCCCTCTTCCCCCTCGAGGAGCGGCGTGAGCCCAGCAGAGCCAAAAACACCTCCTTGCTTTTAGGGACGCAGCTGTGACTTAAGACCCTGGCTGTGACGTAGCTGGAGGCCCAAGCCGAGACTGAGCCTGCAGAAGCCTCGAGGAGACATTGAGGCAGGGGCACTGCCTCGTCCAGGCTTCTCCGGGAGGCGATGCTCCAGAGCGGTGAGTCTCCAGGCCGTGCCCCGGCCGGGCAGGGCAGGGCAGGCTTCGGCTGGGGTGATCCCGTGCTGGTGGGGAGCCTGGCCTGCAGCTGACACCCGCTACATCTTTCCAGGAGTTCCCTCGCTCATACTTTTCCTCTCCCATCGTTAAAAATAAGAGGTAGCATTGCTAGCTCCCCGCTGAGCCTTTCAGTCCCACAAAGCATGAGACTGGGTAGAGGTACAGCATTTCCAAGCCAAAATGTCCTGCATTCTTTTGCTTTGCCTGCCTTGGGCTTCCTTGTCCCTGTGTCCCTGTACTGTTTCGCGGGCTGCGTGCTGGCTCCGTGTTTCCCTGTGGTCATTGCCCAGACCTTTTGGGAGTGTGTACAAGCTGCTGCTATCAAGGGAGTGAGCTACACACAGCTCCTCTTCTCAGATGGTTTTGTTGCGGGCAAGCTGGAGCTTGCTTTCGGTGGGGACTGCTGGGAGGTTTGTTGAAATGTGCTGGGCACTGTGTACATAGGACCTGGGGGCTCAGTCCTATGAGTGAGGGAGAGCTGGTTTCCTAGGGCTGTGGACCAAGCCAGGCTGGAGTAAGCTCGTCCCAAGGGACTTCTTACAGCATCCCTGAAATTCAGCGCTACTCTTGGATAAAGATGCAAGGGGTCGGTGGAATTATACAAAGCAGAGCCTCAGTAAGGACCGGTTTCTTTTGATCTTTAAACTCAAATTAATTTGTTGCTGCCACTAAATGGTCAGCTTTTAGAGGGCTGCAGGGATCTGTCCTGAGAGTGCAGAACCGTGCTGCACAAACAGTGGGGTAAGCTGGGGGCTTTAGCAGCTCCTTAAGGGGCAGCGGGGTCTTGAGGCACAGGAGGCAGCTTGAGACAGGGGGATAACTACATCGACTGGATATTTCTCCTGGCATGCACTGGTTGTCGACTCTGACACAATGACAGCCCTTCGCTCCAGCTAGCCGATTACCGAGGGGAAGAGGACAGGTCACTTCTCCCACCATTGTGTTCCTGGATCTGGCTGCAGACTACAGCGGTGAGACTCAGGTCACACCTCAGAGCTGTCTTTGGGAAGGTAAAGACTAGCGGTTCTCCTGTTCTAACTGGAGGCTTAGTTGCTTGAGCACGGCTCTGGAGCCAGGGGAAATCCTGCCAGACAGAAAGCCCTGGCTCCACAAAGGGTCTCAGGTGGCTGTGCAGGGAGTGTGGGAGGGGGGGTCCCGAGGGAACAGTGCACAGTGCTGTTGGGTCTGGTGTGGCTGTTCATCCTCTCCACTGAGCTGGGAGAGGGGAGCAGGCTGTGCTTCCTACAGGCTCCCAGGTGCCACTAAACTGGGAGCGGTCACAAGTGGCAGTGAACACACAGGCAAAGGGAGCTGGAGGTAGAATTTGGGGTGGGAAGGGGCTCAGTACTGGCTGTATGGCAGCACCTTGCTACCAGGGTCCTGGGTGCCAGGACAGGACATAGACTGAGTTAAACAGTCCAAAGTCCAGTTCTCAGGGTGCAGAGATGGCTGAGCCCAAGCAGGGCGTGCTGGAAGGAGCTGGATCTAGCTGTGCAACAAGAGGTGCCTACAGGGTCAGCCGTCCTGGCCCAAACATGCACCTACCCTCATTTAACAGAGCCTGGAGGTGAAGGTGCTGGTGAGGAGAGGTAGGTCTGGGCTCCCCAACATGGTCCACAGGGGACTCTGGGGACAGCCAAGTGCAGACCTAGGGAGCAAGGAGGTTGGCTCTCCCAAGCCCTTGTGGGGTGTGATAAGAGCCTGCACGTCTTGGGCAGGTGGGAGTGTCTCTCCCTTTCAAGTGGGGGGAGCTGAGACCAATACCAAAACACCTCTTGAGCACTGGTCTGTAGCAGGGGCTACTCCTGCCTGCCTCTGATGGTGCCGCTGATGCCAAGATGCCCCAGAGACAAGCAGGGTGGACAGGCTGGTGACTGCATCAGCTCACCAGTCTAATTGCTTTGCATGCCCTGTCTGGGTCCCGCCCTGTCTGGCTCCCTCCCTTCCCTGCAAGTGTGGGGAC